ATTGCTAAAACAAAAAAAAAATCATTCTATTGTGTTTGTTATCCAATAGTCTTGCATCCTTCTATGTTACTTGATCATTTTCATTTACATCACATTGCAAAACCAAAAAAAAATCATCATTTCATTGTGTTTGTTATCCAATAGTCTCGCATTTAATCATAGCTTATCATGTCAAGGGCAATTAGGTCTTTTCATAGGTATTGCATGGCCGACCAAAATACATGTTCTATCTTTACTTGTCACTTATGTACAAATTCAAAAACACACTTTTTTCATATACTTACATAAAAAACAAGTAAAGAGGGGCAACTATGAATATTATATTTTGTCCGGGCATTTTTTAAAATTTAATAAGAATAATAATAAATAACCAAAAAAAGTATAAAAATACAAAAATAAAATTTAATCCTTTTTAGAATTATATTTTCAAAATAATAATAATAATAATAATAATAATAATAATAATAATAATAATTAATATAATTAAAAAAATCTTGTTTAAATCTTTTAAAATCTCTCCCAAATTATCCCAACTATTTAAGATATTAGGAATCAACTTTTGAGAGTTAATTTTCTTTTTCTTCTTTCTTTAAATCTTATTGTTTTTCAAAAAAAAAAAATAGAGAGAGAAATATTTTAGTCCAACTCAAAATCAGTTTTTTTTTTTTTCCTTCTTCCTCTTAATCTAATTATTGAAGTTAACAAATAAAACAAAGGAGAAGAGCAGAACGTGCATGTTGCATGAGCTTGAGAGAGGAAATGAGAAAAGAAGTAGAATGCCAAGCACGTGCATTTTGGCATGAGATTGAGAGAAACAGAGAGCAGCACACACATGAAAACACATAGAGGAAAACGCAGGAAAAAAGGGAACTTTCGGCCATGCAGAGCAGAATGCCAGACACGCAGAAAAGAAAGCCAGAAATGCAAAGAAAAAGGGGAAAAGCTTCTGGAGATCAGACAAGCAGACACAAAGCGGAGAAGGAGGAACCCAAAGCAGAAAACAGACTCGCGTGTGATTGAGAAGAACAGATAGCCATGCAAAGACACACAAGCACGCGAGCAGAAAAAACTGGAAAGTAGAAACAAAGAAAAGGAGAAAGAAATAGAGAAGACATGCACGACAAGAGGAAGAGCCTGAGCTTCAACAATAAAGGGATCTCTCACGTAAAGATCTAGAGGGGGACGAGATGTTTGCTCCTGGAGGGAAACGAACGAGAGCGAGTCCGAGAGAGGATGGAGAATAAGAATAAAAAACAGAGACAGAGAGGGAGAGTGAGAGAGGCACGAGAACAGAAAGGGAGGAAGGAGAGAGCATAAAAGAGATAAGAGAAAACGGATGAGAGAAAAATGGAAAAGGAGAAGAAAACTAGGGAGAGTGAGAGAGCATGGAGGAGAGAAAAAACAGAGCACAAAAGAACGGACAAGATAAGAGCGAGGGAGAGATCGAGAGAAAGATCTAAACTCAAAACTGGACGAAAACAGAGTAACAGGGAGCACAAACGCAGCACGGAGGAGGAAGGAGAAAGAAACGAGGGAGAGAGATCAGAAGTGGGGAATGGACAAGAGAGGATAGAGAACAAGAAGTTTAAGCAAGGAAGAGACTAAGAGAAAACACAGAGGCAGCACAGAGAAGAGACGAGAAAGAATGCAGAAGAGAGAGAGGAAGCTACACAGGAAAAAGAGACCGAGAGAAGAGAAGAGAAACCGAGAAATAGAAGAGACCGAGAAGGAGATGCACGAGCACAGAGACAGAGACTGAGAGCGATAAAGAGCCAAAAAAAAGCAGAACAAAGCAGAAAACTGAGAGGCTTTGAACGAGAGAGAGGACGAGAAGAGAAACAGAGAGAACTGAGAATGGCAAGGGGAGAGCTGAGCAGTCCATTTCCTTCTTCTAAAGCACAACGGGTCGAGAGGATTTTTCTGCCTTCTTCTAGACCATCTATGCAGTGCATGAAGAGGCTTTATTCCTCATCCTTCATTTGTCTATTTGGGTCTTCTTTTCTGGTGAGCTAAACCCCCTTCTCCCTTCTGTCCTTGCAATAGATATGTGCATGAGTTTCTACATTAATTATGCTGTTATGGAACTGATTTTGTAGGGAAATGAATTTCTACATTAATTATGCTTTTATGGGACTGATTTTTTAGGGAAATTTACTTGTGTTGAAATAAGGAGATTTGAAAGCTTCGAAACTTTAAATATTGGTAATGAATATTTAGAAAGATATTTAAAGAAAAAGTGGCTTTGTATTATTGTATGAATATTGTCTCCCATAGGGTGTTTGCTAAAATGTATAAAAGGAAAATTAAAAGAATTCATATGCTTGTCAGACGAAGGTTAAATTGGATCTAAAGTATACTTTTTATAGCATAAAAGAGCATGTGAATTGAATCATTTTGTATCTCTTTATTTCTTAAATTCAAGACATTAGTTTGATTTTGATTTCTATGGGAGATAAATTAGGTGATTGATGATAATAATGATATGTGGATCTTGTTAATTTTAATTATTGGATGCTATTACCACTACTCTCATTATTTTCTTTCAAAAGTCATATCTAAACATTCAACCAAGCATTTAAGATTACATGGCCTAGTCAGGAGAGAAAATGGTTTACTCCTTATTAATCGCTTCTGTGAATGTTATATTTAAATGAATAAATGAATGATCCTCAAGCACGTATATTCTTTTATGCTTAGATGCTAAACACAAATATTAATTTTTAGAGTTTGTTGTGTGAGATTTTAAGAATCTTCATAAGCATTGAAAATGATCTCGTATCGTGTAAATCAATAAGATTTCACAAGTATGAAAATCTAACTTGTATATTAAAAATGGGTTCTAATGACTCACCATTAAAATTAACTCTTTTTTATGATTTAAATCAATAAAATATTTAACATTATTGTGTGAGATTTAAAGAATCTCCGCAGATGCTCAAATTAATTGCCTTATCGTGTAGGATGATAAATCCTCACAGATATTATGATTTTCAATTCATATAGAAGTAAATAAAATAATAAACATTTTTTATAATATTAATTAATTAAATTAATAAATTTAAATTATAATTATATTTTCTAATTAAATCTTTTGGTCATGTGAGATTTTTGAATCTCTGTAGACTTTTAAGATAATCGTATTATCGTATAAGTCAATAAAACTGTACAGATGTAACGATTAAGTTTTTAATATATATATATATATATAAATTATATATTAAACTAATTAAATTAAAGATGTATTTAAATAAATTTAATTCATTTATCGTGTGAAATTTTAGAATCTTCGTAAATATTTAAGATAATCATATTACCATATAAACTAATAAGGCTTTGCAGGTATGACGATTAAGACTCTTTAAGAATATGTATATACATGCTTAAAAAATTATTATTATTACTTAAAAATATACATAAGAATATAAAAAATAAATTAAGTTGCTAAATTCTTTTATTGTGTGAGATTTTAAAATTTCCGCAGATATATAGAATAATTGTATTACAGTATGAGCCAATAAGGCTCTACAGGTATTGCGATTAAATTCTCAATCATAAAATATAAAAATAAAAATAAAAATAATTTTTAAACTTTTTTCTTTTCTTTATCCAAAAATTCAAAAATTGAGAAAATAGGCAAAATTAAATCACTTTTTACAATTTAAAACACACATATCAAAATTTTAAAAATTATTTTATTTGTAAAATGGTAAATTATTTTTAATTAATTTCTCTTTAAAAAAATTGTCACTAACAAACTTTTAAGCCCGAACTACGTGGACTTTGATCCCTATCACAGGGTACGTAAGCCTCAGAGTCGAATTCTAAGTCAAGTCCTTGCTGGTAAATAAATAAATATTTCCCACTCAATTATCATCATTTTTATATCAAACACATGAATATAAAATGAATAATTATAATAATTATAAAACTATATTAATATAGCACGACAAACTTCAGGTAACCATTCTTACGAACGAGTGTTATGAGGTGCCTAACACCTTCTCCACACTCAATCAACTCCCGAACTTATTTTCTATTTTCACAGACCATCCTTATTCTCCTTTAAACGGTTTCCCAGGATTTACATCAAAATTTTGGTGACAACTCCCATTTCATGAGGTTCTCGCCCGAAGGCTGGAACCTTCGCTCGTGCGCCGTCAGTGTTGCATTTTTCGGGTGCGACAATAAATGATTTTATATTTATTGTAGGGTATTTAATAGAGGCAAATATGAAAAGATAGGGTTAGTTTGAAAAAAGATAACTGCTTTATTGTGGGTGAGATTTGATTAAAAATACTTTATATTTTTTAACAAAGGAAATATATAGATATTATTTAATGAGAATTAAAAAATGATTATAATATATATATATATATAATTGTTTATATAAAGAGAGTCTTTTAGTTTTATGTTTTATGTGTTGTTTTTAATATTTAATTTCGTTAACTCATATCATAAATTTAATTATATAGTTAAAATTATTTTTTATAAAAAATAATTATTTATTTTAAGTATAAATTATACTCCCATTGATTCATTTTTCTGGTTCGTCATTGCATTTAAGTCTGAGTGGTGATTAGACGAGTCTGTGTTCTGAGTTCCTCAGCAAATAATTATACCTACGCTGCACTGATCACTTCAAGCTAATTAATTCAATCAATAACGGTAACTAATGCTTTAAAAACTTCATTAATTTTTGTTGGATGTGTAGCAGAGGAAGTGTGGGAGGAACTTGAGCATACACACAAACACACGTATACATTCTCAATTTAAACGATGCCATTTCATTTCATTATTTTTGTTAACTTGTTATAATGACTAGAAACACACTTAACTAAACATACGTACGGGTCTAAACGTTAGGCTACTACCTTAAGCACAAAGTTAGCTTATTAAAAGGAGAAGAACAAGAAACGTACATTTCTAAGACCAACTTAACAACAGATACACTTATTACGAGAGTACTAGTAAAAATCTTCTATCTGACAGGTTTTGTGAGTGCATGATGAGTCCAAATGGCGAACAGTGATGAAGAACTAGATAGCTTGTAAGCGAATCAATCACCAAGCTTGGGTACTACACATACTATTCCAGTAATGATTCTTCGTTTCCTCAAAGTTTGTGTTTCCGCAAATCATGCTTTCGCCATTAATATCCACGAACCCCAAGTTGCCCAGACTCTCGTTGGATTCGAAAACAAGCACATCATCATCATCATTATCTTTAGTACAGTTCATACCTTCTGGTAAATTGGCTTCTACATTCTTGAACCTTTCTGCCATAAATGCCTCCACTGCCACCATAATGTCGTCGTCTTGCAAAGTTTCTGTTCTTCTTTCTCCGATGATCATCGCCATGTCGTGGTTCTCCTCCGGCAAAGGAAAACAGCCCCATGGTTCGATTCCTGCGGCGGAGATAGAACTAACCGTTGTGGTGGTGGTGGTCGTGGTGGCCGGAGGGATGATGACTTTTTCATTGGGTAATAATCCTACGGTGGTGGAGCTAGTTGGTAACATGGGTTCCGGGAAGGTCAAGGTGGACGTCGGCGACTCGAGGTCGTCGGCGGCGGCGGAGAGCATCAAGGCGTACATGTTATGCATTCTGGTGTTTTTGTCTTCCGCTGTAGTAGTACTAGTCGGCAATGACCATGAATTCTGCCATGCTTTGAGCACGTCAAGGCATGGCGGCACCGACGGCCGAGCCGAGATTTTGTTGAGGACGAGTCGAGCCGCCGGTTGAGGGGAGCTGGGGAAAGATGGGCATGAGCCGAGCTGGAGCTTGGACTCTCTCACTAGTCTGGCTTCGGCCTCAAGCCGGGCACTCTCCCACTGAGCCATGTGGCTGAGGCTGGAGCTAGCCAAGCCAACGCCGGTGGTGTCAAGCTTAGGCCGGTGCGTAGCCGGGTCGATTCCCATTCGGTCAAGCCGCTTCTTGAGATGAGTGTTCCAGTAATTCTTAATCTCATTGTCTGTTCTCTTGGGCAAGTGAGCTGCTATGGCTGACCATCTGGTGCAATGCAATATAGACATTAATATTTGAAACAAACAACACAATGTCTTTCTTTTTTAATTATTCTACGTGGGGCATTAGACATTTTGTATGGGTACGTTATTCGGTTCATGTTAAATAAATAGAAACCTACTGTTTGGTTTCCTTCAATGCAAGTCTCTTCACACACACACACACACACGTGTATTCAAAATAGATTCGCATTGATTATATCAAACTATAATAGAACAAAATCAATATAAACCGATGAAAAATGATTATAAATAAGATTGATTTGGTTTTCTTTTGACAAAATCGATTATTTTGGTTTGATTCAGGTTTTCGCCTCTTAAAATCTAAACCAAACTGAACGGAGTCTTATTGTATTTATTTTATAAATTATCCTTTAGTTATTTAATTTGTAAATATGTTACAATTATAGCTATATGTTCTCTGTATAGTGGTCTGTGATAATATTTTAATTTTATAATCAAGTATTTTAAAGATAATATATTAGTTTCTAATAGTTAAATAAACTAATTAATTGTTACAAAAAAATTTTGTCCTCACGATTTTTTTTCATAGAAAATAATAATTGATATTTAAAAATTATTAGTGAATATGCATACATATATATATTGATTGTAAAAAATATCTCAAGAAAGTTAAATTAAACTTAATTAAAATCTAAACCAATTAAAAAAAATCCAAATTGGTTTCAGTTTGGTTTGGATTTTTTCCAAAACCAACCTATGAACACACTTGACACGGAGACATAAATATTAGGAAGAATATCAATGAAGGACTGGTGAAATAATTTAATATCAGGCAAGTATTAAGACAAATTGGATACTTATCAAAACTTAAACTTTACTTGTTAACTATTAATATTTACTTTGTTAAAAGTCCTTACCTGATATTAAATCATTTCAGAGGTCCTTTATTGATATTCTCCCTAAATATTAAGCCACGCAGTACTGAACAGTTTATGTAAAATGATAAGATGAAGAAGAAAACTCAAAACTCAAAACACATAAAAAGGGTAGAAGAAGAGTGAAATACCTGTTTCCAAGAAGAGCATGAAGTTGAATAATGGTTCTCTCTTCCTGCAAACTGAACTTTCCTCGTTTGATATCAGGTCTCAGATAATTCGTCCACCTCAGTCTGCAACTTTTTCCACATCTCTCAAGTCCTACATATATCCACCAAAAATTATTAAAACTCACAAATATATATATATATATATATATATAAAGAAGTGACATTATATGATATATATACGAACCAGCTTTGGAAGGCAAAGCACGCCAGCTTCCATGGCCATGTTGTTCAATGTAAGAGATGAGCTTCTGGTCTTCCTCAGGAGTCCATGGCCCTTTCTTCAACCCCACTTTCTCACAACAAGGTGACCTACCCATGATTCTTATTATTTTTGTATTAATTTCCGATGAAATTGCCGTTATTTCATCAAAAATAGAGTGGACACGAATAAGCTTGAAGGAATGCGAGTAAAGGGAAGGAACTTATATATAGAAATGTTAGTGTATGTATGTATTTATTACTGTGGATAAATTTTGTCTAGTAGTATAGTACTCTTCTATTTCATAGTCATTAAATAAGTCTTTATTTTACAGTCTTCATGTACTGCATCATACCAGACCAGGAATTATTGTATCATTATAGACTCCATACTGTATGTTTGTGTATATTATCACATCACATTTACATTTTTTTAATGGGGCTGGTGAAAACTTACTTGCACTTAGGTGGTTTACATAATGACATGTAATTATGATTTCGTGTTATAATAATAATATTTTAATTTGTACCTTGATTTTGTCAAGCATATTTATTTTATATCTTAAGCATTTTAAAATTTTGCATTATTATATTATTTTTTTATAGGGTTAATGTTCATTTTTATTCATGAACTATTTTCATAGTAGCACCCAACATTCTGTATAAATTATTTGTTGTAGTAATATTACTTTCAAAGTAATTAAAATTTTACCAATGTTTGCCTTTAAAGTTAAATGGACAAACGTCAACCATTAAACAAGACAACATTGCTAAGGTTTAATTATTTCAAAGGCAATATTGTTATTATTTGAGTTAAACTTATTTCTAAGTCAATAAAGTTAATCATCAATATTAATTTACTTATTAAACATCAAGTGCAACATTACTATGATTTAATTATTTTAATGGCATTATTGCTATGACAAAGAGTTGGGAACACTAGACCTTAATTCTTTTTTATACATAATTATCTAATATTAATATTATTAGATGAAAATTATTAGAGAGTTCATAAAAACTAGTTTTATAGTGCATCCATGTTTTAAATTAAAAACGAAAGAAAAGGAAAAAAAATACTTAAAAATTATACTGGAACACGTAAGAAATAAATATCAAACATGAAAAATTATAATAACAGACTATTGACTATAGAAACTCTCATAAGCGAATAACATTTTAATAAAAATACATATTATGAATGAATTGATAAAAAAAATTCTGATTTAAGGATTATTGCTCGCAAATTATTGTTCTGTTGTTTCCAAATTAATTTCTGGACTGTCCTGCTCTCTGCACAATAACTCAAACCATAATTAATTATCAGAATAAATTCTCATTGATATCATCGCGTTTAGTTTCAACCCTAAAATTTATTGTATCTGCTAATTTCACATGTTCTTCAATCTTACAGGTCTTAAAGATAAATGCATAATTGAATGCATCCATCCCAAACGCTTTCTGTCAATTAAATATCCATCTAAGATCAAACTCTCAATTAACTAGTTCAGCAAACTTTTCTCGTAAAATGAAGTTCCTCTATATAAATTAAAAGGACATAATATATATATATATATATAGTTCTTTAATTTGGACCACTCGTAACAATTTTTATTCCGTGCAAGATTGCATTTGGATAGAAATTAAATATGCAATGAATACAAAATAGAAAGAGAATAACTTAACAGAACTAAATTGACGGGGAAATCTCAGGTAAGGTGCATTAAAGAAATTAACTAATTGTAAATAATGACCCCAATTTTGTGATTTTTTTCAGCCAAGACATGAAATTGTTAAAATTATGCTCTAGAAGTAATAGCATAATATACAAATTTAGATCAACCTGCTCAGTTGAATTGATAAACTATTAAACCAGTTTCTTAACCTATTTAGTAAAATACTTTATTTATAATCAATCTAATCATAGTTTTATCATAATTTTGATCATTAATCTCTGAACTAGTATCTTGATTGGTTGAATAACTTGTTTTGTTTTCAATACCTTTAATCTTCATGATAAACAATTTTGAACTCAAATACTTGATAATGCATAATTTTCTTCACTGCCATTTCAAATCATAATGTGTTATGAATAAGGTATTAAAAACTACATAGGTTATTGAATCAGTTAAGGGCTTAAGGCATTGGCTGCTCAAAGGTTAATGATTAAAATTATAATTAAACTATAATCAAATTAGTTATTAACTAAATATTTTATTAAAAAAATTTAAGATATTAGTTTAATAGTTTATTTGATCAACTAGGTCCATATTTTCATTCTATGCTCATAAAACATGGAGGTGGGTCCCGCCACATCTTCTTCCACCGACAATTGCTATAACCAATGACGAATTTTTTAACTCTTGCGAGGCATTTGCTGACTCTCAACTGTGTATGATGTATGCGCACGTTTTCATTTCAATTTTGTCACTACTAAATTATTTCCTTCTCGTAAGATATTTTTAGAAGATTTTGGCGTCATTATAAAAAAAATATGTTTTACAAAATTTATACAAAATTTATTTTATTTCTTCAAAAATACCTCTGAAAAGGTTTTTTTAACTTAAATAAGAAAGGGACATAATAAGATAGATAAATATTCAATTAATAAAGATTCAGATAATTTATTAAAAATATCAACTATTTTTTTATTTACGTAAAATAGAAAATCTTTTCATGTAAAAATAACAGAGAGAGTAATATACATTCCATATTTTAATATAAAAAAATTAATTATTTGATCCTTATAATTTTAACCCAATTGTAATTCAACCCTTTAACTTTGACTCTTTATAACTCAATTTCTAAAATTTTGACTTGATTATAAATTAGTCCCTAAATTTTTTCTCCTACAATTTAATCCCTAAAGTTTCAACCTCTAAATGTTGGTCCTTATATTTAAAAAATAAAATTATAAATATTAAAATATTTTAAAATTTTAAAATTTATAATATTTATAAAGATTAAAACTGTTTAATAATTTAAAATATTAGTAATAAATTTTAAAATATTTTTAATCATTATAATTTTATTTTTTAAAATATAGAGTCTAATATTTAAGAGGTTAAAACTTTAGCAGACTAAATTATAAGAGGCAATATTTAGGGAATAATTTGCAACAAAGTCAAAATTTTAAGAATTGAGTTACAATTAAGTTAAAATTATAAGAATCAAATGATTAATTTTTCCTTTAACATAAGTCATTTTTACTATATTAGTGAAAAAAATAATTGTATCCATAAAATTTTTAAAAATTGCTTTAACTTTCATCATTACACCTAATAAATATTATATTACTCCCTTTATTAAAAAATATAAGACATTTTAAGGAGTTATATGTTAAAAATATTAGACATTTTTAGTCTTGAGGTCTAATCATTGCCTTTTTTCAAAGATAAATGATTTTATATGTATCGTAGATGTTTAATAGGGGTAAATATGAAAAGGTATAGTTAGTTTGAAAGTATGTAATTATTATTAGAGTAAAATTTAATTAAAAATTCCTTATATTTTTTAATAAATGGAGTATAATTTTTTTAAAAAGTGCATATACTTTGTCATTTCCTCAATGTATCGGAGTCTAATAGTAAGAACTTTTATGAAACAAAATATTTAATATCCCGGCCAATAAAATTCTACTCCATAGAATGATTTACATGTTGAATTATAAGATTTTTCACTGACAAATTTAATCATCATGATAAATCCTTAAAGATTTAATTTAGAGTTCGGGAGTTCGACACCAAGAATTATAAGATTTTTCTAAAAACAAATTGACTTACATACAAGAATCCAGGGAGTATAAAGCTACAAAAAAGCATAACAAAATGACTCCTTTAATTTTTTTTTTTTGGAGAACACTACAATTTCATTGAGTGAAAAATGGATACAACACATTAAAGGATTCAAAGACAATTTTACCCTTAAATTATAGATCTAGGAATTAACATCTAAGATTTTAAATTCATTGTTGGTACAATGTTTTTTTTAACTTTTAATAAATGTCATCTTTACTTGTAAAAAAATTAACTTGGACAATAAATTAACTAAAAAATTACAAAAAATGATCTTAAAATTTACATAAAATGACCAAGAAAATTATAAAAGATAGGTAATTTTTTGTCAACTAACAATTAAAGTTAATATTTGTTAATGATAGGAGTTATGTTACACCTTTTAAAAAGTTGAAAGAAAATATCATAATCAAAAACAAGTTTGGGATTTTATACATTCCATGACTTATTATTTAGATGTCAATTTACTATTTAATGCCATATTAGATGGAAAATGTTTTCATTTTGTTGGTGGAGTTCATGCAAGCTTGTGCAACGGGAGAAAATATTAATGGGAGACGTTGGATGCAAGCCTGTACGAACTACGAAGGGAGAGGGGGAAATTAAATTAAGCAAAAGTTAGGGATCAAATTAAATGAGGTGCAACAGCTTCCGTATTTTTCCATTGGCGATCACGTGTATCACAACACACCCACACACCAATCGAGCGTTACCAAATAGAAATTGTATCGAGCTAACATAGTTATGCAATTATAACTCTTCGCTTTAATTCCCACCCTTTTTTTCCCCATATAAAAATAACAAACAAAAAATTAATAGTGATGAAATGCATAATATTCTAAACATTTCTTTTCTTTTATATTCCATCTTATCCTTATTTTAAAGCTTAAAACTGGTAATTTAGGCGGGATAAGTTTATTTGGGTTGAACTCAATTCGAGCCGAGCTTATTTGGGTCAAATTTAAAGTATCCTATTCCATTTAAAAAAGCCCATATAATTAAACCCGGTCCTAACATCTTCAGGCTTCGGACTTCTTCGGGCCGACCCAAATACCCAAAACTTTTTAAAATTTTTTTTTATTTTTTAACAATTTAAATTTTTAAATAATTTTGTTAATCATAAAATATTATTTTAAATTTAAAAGAATAAAATAAAAAATATAATTTATTAACTTTATACTTAAGTAACTATGTTACTGTTTTGTTGTATTATGCGTAATTCATTCATGAATTTTTTTTACTTATAAATTAATGTCTTAGTTGTTCAAATATTTCTCTTATCATGGTTATATATAAATATTTTATAAATTTTAATTAAATTATATTAT